GACGTGTGCTCTTCCGATCTGGAGGCTATATGGACGTCTAATGGAGGTTTTGTTCCATGTGGGTTGTCTCACTCAACACGTGCAATGTCCTTATCTAACTTATTGAAATGCCATCTGTTGCAAAATCCAGCACTTACTGCTAGACGCAATTTTTGCTGTCTTTGCTTTAGCTAAGCGTGCAAATTACTATAAATTGCAGTTGGAACGATAAACCTTTTTCTACTTTGCTTTCAATCGTAGCTCAAAAGGTCTTGTATTATTTGTTCCTGTAATCCGAAGGGGGCGAGCTACTTATTTTGTAGGTACATATGAGCTACAGAACTTTAACAATGAAATGTTTACGTCAGGTAATAGCTAGGTTACGATCGCTGTACGACACAAAAAAGGTAATTTTTTAATTTTTTGTTGTTTTCACTACAAAAAAATAGCTTGCCCCATTACATTTTATGTTTATTTCAATCCTGTAAAAGCGATTTTAATTCCGTTCAGTATTTTTAAAGTTATTGTTCCAACTGCAAATGTCGGTATTCCATCATCGCCTTAAGAGAATGCTGAAAGATCGGAAAAATTTGCACGAGGTCGATAAAACAGATTCTTCAATGTCAATAGTATTTCTAAATGAACTTCTTACAATATCTTGTCTTACTCAAACGTGCATTGTCCTTATTTAACTTATTGCCATCTCTTGGAAAATCCGGCACTTACTGCTAGACGCTTTGTTTACCATTCCTATCAGCCCTAAGCCCCCGAATTACCATAAATTGCAATTCAGTGGATTTCTTTTTTTCTACGCTTTCAATTGTAGCTTAAAAGGCTTTGTATTATTCGTTCATGTAATTTGTGTTAGACGTAAGCATTTTGTATATATGATCAGCTACAGAACTTTTACACTAATGAAATGTTTACATCAGCTGTACGACCCAAAAAAATGTAATTTTATAATTTTTTTTCCGATTTTAGTACAAATTCGACCGTCTAACACCACAATTTCATGTTTATTTCAATCCTGTGAAAAGATTTTCAATTCCGTTCAGCCAATTCGAAGAAATTTACTAAACTGCAATGTGTCGGTATTTCCGACCTTTTAGCATTCTCTTATATAAGATGCATCCAAATTATCGAACCGAATTTTGAACCGCGAGCATTTCGCCGAGTATTTCATTCATTCATTGTTTTTTGCCAAACTGTGACAAATGCTCGCCAAAATATACAGCTCGATAATTTGGATGCATCTTTACTCTCTGTTTGAAGCGATCAAAAGTTTGGGTGCGAATTCGCATTCACACCTCAAATTACGTGTGTAAAATCGGGGAGTACGTGAAAAAGGATAATATACATTAATTATCTGATCAACTTAGCAGCTTCATTTTTATAAAATATAAGTATTTTTCAATCAAGATTTATTGTATATAAGTGATAAAAATAATTTTCTAAATTTTATGTAATACATATAAATTTTATAATATACGTAAATATAATTATGTAAATAATTCTGTTTATATTTTTAAATTATGCCTTTAAATCTTCACACATTAGTATTATAAAATAATTTTTCATGCATTTATAACGTGTTGCATTTATTTTCTCACTTCCAAAAAACTTCTCACACTATCGGGAAAAATATTTATATTTTATTCAATCAAAACTATTTTTTTTTAACTTAAAATACAACATTTCATTAACAAAATCTAGTAAGATTTGTGTGTCATTTCATTAAAAACTAAAAAATGGCAATTATTTATCGAAAAAGTAATTTAAAAACATGCAGTTTTAAAAAATAAAGTTTTTTTTGAAAATGTAATATTACCAATCAATTGGTAAAAAAATTTTACGTTAGAAAACACAACACGCACGCGCGCGCGCGCGCGTTTTATTTTAATTTCGCTTTCCAAAATTTAATATTATCAACCGATTGGTCAGAAAATTTTACATTAGAAAACACATCACGTTTTACTTTCATTTCATTTTTATTTTCAGAACATATAAAACATTAAAGACGCCTGGTGGAAATTTATCTCCTGCAGGTATTCTTTACAAGTGCTTAAAACGGAAGTGTTCTTTACGGATATATTATTTTACGTTATTACTATTTTCTTGTACAATCTAAACAATCGTATTTATAATGGTATAGTTAATTAACGTTATTATATTTCCTTACAGTTATTATATTTTCTACAGTTTGTACAGTTTACTTTTTCCATCTCAATTTTATAATACATAGTTGAGATATATTTCGTTTTAATTTTGTAGTTATCACTTTTTTCTCTCAATCCAATGTACATTTTAAAGAATTCTGAATTCTATATGTATATAATTGATGTTATATTTTTCATGAATAGCGAAATTTATTGATATAGACAGAATACTATATATGCAGCAGCAATTTCGAAGCATTAGAGATTTTTTAAATCCTTAATTCTTAAGATTCCAATGGTGAGTTGGCATAATATTTCGTTCCAGCTCCAATAATGTCGTGCTAAACTCAAAGTCTTCCCACTTATATATATTTTTTTTGTATTTTTAAAATTAAAAGTATTTTTTATGCTCATGTGATTCAGTATTCATATCATGTATATTAATATTTTGCTTTATATTAAGTCTCGTTATTGCATCGTAAAATATTTAACAAATTTTTGCCTAAATTTGATATGAAATTGAACTTAATAAAGGAAACTGTTTCCTTTCCTGTGAAAAAATCCTCATCCAGGTATAACATATATCATATATGTATTATTAAAATTTAAAACAATATAAATTATTTCTTAAATATATATTAATAATATTATCAAAATATCTAATATCTTTCCTTTTTATAAAAAAAGTTATAAGAAATCTAAAATTTTTATTGTAGAATTTTTCTATTTTCGTTTGGACCTGACGAAGCAAAATGTTAAATTTGTTACGAAGCGTAAAGAATTAAATATGATTAGATTTTTTAAATAAAATTAAAAAATCGAGATAAAATATTTAACATTCTGCCATTGATCTTCATCATTACGTGCTCAAAATCTTGAAATCGTTATTCAATTTTGGCGGTCTCTGTGAATTGGAACGTATTGATTGCGCGAGAAGTCTCCCTTTGCAAAGGGTGAGTCGAGCCCGTAATTAGGGTGATGATTTGCCGTGTCATTTTTCTCCTGTTACTCTGATGGTACAGTGTTATGACCGTGACAGAATTTGTCTCACAATCAGTGAAAGCAAGCAGCAGCAGCAACAGCAACGCAGGTATGAACCAGTTTCGAAGAAGGTGGTGGCAGTGGAGGGTGCGCTCCAATCATACAGACGATGACGTTCGAGAATCGCGAACGGATACGTGTGACATTTCGAAGACTAATCTCCAAGCAATGCTCGAAAATTCAATAAGGGTAAATAAATACGATAATAATAGGAGAGCAAAAACTGAGGTAGTTTTCACCCTCATGATGATTATCTTCATCGCATATTTATATTGGCGGAGAATTATTGAGATTATTGCGTATAAGTGCGTGCATATATTTTCCTATATACGTATAAAGGATGATTTCTCTTGTTAAGGATAAATATGTAAGTATATTGAAATTTATTGTTGTTTTACGGTGTATAGTATATGCCATAATTAAGGGCGCACATAAGATATATCACCGACACTGCTGTTGCCACACTCGCCACTGCCGCCACCGTCGTCGCCGCCGCTGCCGCCGCTGCCGTCGTTGCCGTCGTTGCCACCGCCGTCGCCGCCGTCGCTACTGCCGCCGCCCCATGCGTCGTCGTCGCACCACCGAGCGTTTCATTTGATATGTTGGGGTTGCGTTCGCCATCGTGATAGCCGTCGAATCGTGTTAATACGTGCCACGCACATTCCGTCATTCGTCGTGCTCTTGTGACTAGTAGGCGTGTCGGGGATCGTGACGACCGTGTGAGAGTGCGAATATCGTGCGAATAGTGCGAATACCGCATCTCGAGAGAGACAGACAGAAAGAAAAGAGAGAGAAAAAGGCTTTCGCGACGGGGTGAGTTCCTTCGGTAAAAGAGAGGCCTGTGCGGAGCGAGATCATGAAAATAAATCGAGGTCGTCTTTTGCGGTGGATGCATCGACTCCTGAAGAATGCACAAAGCATTACGGATAACTGTGATTCCGACAACTTATTCGAATAAATTCGATCTTTTTAAATTTTTTTTTCGAATTTTGATACATTGCATCGTGGTTTAAAATGCAAGAATCTATATTTTTTCCGTTAGTTATTATTTAGATATGTTGTAATTTTTTTGTAATTTTATTTCTATTTTCAGATTTTATTCTTTCTCATAATCCTGAAATATCTATAATACTTGCAAAATTTAATACTTTGGATATTTTAGATGAAATAATTTTTCAGAATTACGCAAAATTATTTTCTTACTGTGAAATATCTAGTCTTTTCTGAAAATCTTTTTTTTTAATTGTTGCGGAGTATCATAAGGGTGTGACAGTTTCGATCATATGGTATATTGACTCGAGATACAGCGTTAGGCGTGTCTGAAATTCTTGTAAAGATCGAGATTATTTTCTGAAGTGAAAGTAAAATATACAGACGCTGCATGCAAAAGTTTATTTTTTTACAAATTTTTTTTGAAAAATGTAATATTTGAGAGAGCGATATTTTTAATCCCAAGTTGTAAAATTTATGTTTATACGAATTATACACTTATAATTCATAAGTTTAATGGACAGATGATGAAAGTACGATGTCATACGAGAAGGTACGATGCCAATTTGATTCATTACAAATCTCATGACAAATTTGATGTATTAAACAATTTTTGAATCCTTTTCTAAATTTTAATTTTTGAGTTGATTACATTGGAATCTTTTTTATTCCAATTTATTTTAGAATTTTATATTTCTCTTTTATTTTTGTTCCTTGGTTTTACGAGTTAATCTTTTATTTGCGTTTTATAATGATTAATCATTTACAATTAATTAATTAATAAGAATATTTTAACATTTTTTTTCTTTCTTTTTGATTTTATGTAGTTTCTTTTTTTTGCTTTTATACATTCAGATATCCAGATTATATTTTTTAACTTTAAAACGAATCACTTCTACATTCTATTACTGCATTACGTTACAATTTTAATGTTATATTCATTGTTAAATTTAACATATGTATGTAATTGAATAAACTGTACTCACGAATCGTTTTTCAAAATGATAACATCAAATTTTTTTTTATTATTACTTAATATTTATTAAATTGGAATACAAACACACACACACACACACACACACACACACGCGCGCATATATATATATATATATTACTTACAATTAGTATTAGTTAAACTGAATGCATATACATTTATATATATTTTGTGAATTTGCATAGAAATAATCAAAAATTTTGATAATATACAAAAATTCTGATAATAATCATTTAATAATAAATATTTTGACAATTGTATTTACTAGGAATTCATATATCTCGTAAAAATTAGTAGATTTTTTGTATAAGTTAAAGGAATAATAGAAAAGATTTTTCCATATAATTCAGATATCTTATTGATAACTGAGAATCAATGTACTGAGTGAATGTAGATATTCGTTAATATTATTATTTGCTATGAAAAAAGTTTACTTTATATGAAATTGTTATAAATATTGTGACCAAAATAGTATTATAAATCTCTAACGAAGTATATTAATTGTAAAATGAACAATAACTACAATGCAAGAAGACTAGACTATTTTTCAAATCAACAAATTATATTATTTCAACATAATTTTAACGATTTTTTTTATTCGATGCGGGAGATAATAATGACATAATTGCTTCAAATATTGCGAGACATTTAAATAAGTCAGAAGTATTTGTGGATGTTTATTGAATATTCAACTAAATATTTTGCCAGATATTTGTGCTGTATAGGTTGCTCAATCTGTTAAAGAAAACCGGCATTTAACGTTGGAGATGCCGCTATTGACCATCTCGCTATCCTTTTCCGAGCGCATGGGCGCGGTTCTGATCCTATAATACTCTGTTCTACTTTCTAGCGTCTCCGTGCTGTTTTACATGCACTTCGCGTTTGTTGATTGTTCCCGTTTATCGAGATAGTGGAAACACCTCGGCGAGGTAGATTACCCTAAATGAGTATTGACAATTTTGTCATTTGTCAATTTGAAATTAATGAAATGAGAGACAACTTGCGAATTGACACTTTTTAAATCAAATATTTGAGAATTGTTGAAACTTTTAAAGAATAATACAAATTAATGAATAATTAGAATATAAATATAAATATAATAAATTTTTACTCAATTTTTAATCAAGTTCGAAAATATCGATATGTAATAATCGAATAAAATACTAAAATACTTTAACAGTTTCTATTTTGGTTGTAGCAAAAAGACTTCAAGTAATCAATGGCTATAATATAGAGTCAATTAGCCTTGATTCGAATATGTTATAAAAATGAGGAGTACCTATTAATTACATTATATTATCTTTTGTTGAATTGTATTACTTATGTTATGCTTGATGTATTATCGGCTGTTTTTACAGTTAATTTATAAATTGATAACTTGTATATAAATAGATCAAATTAATCTTTGTATATAATAGTGCTATTATATTAAAGAGGTTCTAGCGCTACTACTCTTAGCGGTTCTACTCTTTAGTCAATAAACAGTTTATTCTTAAAATTATGTAAAACGATTAAAATAATAATATTAAAACATTATTAGCAATACCTATTTCACTAATGTCATTATACATAATCATTATTAATTTTATGTTAGTAAATATTAAAAAAATGACAAAAAAGTTATAAGACTCATTTGACCTAAGTATCAATAGCAGGAAATAAAATATAACATTTATTTACTATTATATCTTAAAAAATAATAAATAAAATATAATCTCAATAAAAAATGTATAAATACATAACACATTTATCATAAATTTGTCGTATTTTTATTTATATATCAAATACATATGTTTTATAGTTTGTGTTTGACAACATGTCTATTTAACAAACATTTTTGTTTTTCTTTATTAACAAATATAAATTTCTTTCAAATTAGACGGTCAATTCAGATGAAACTTTAACCAAAACGAACTTAAATGTTTAGTTTAATAATTGTAAGTATAATAATTTTTTAATTTTTAAATAATTTTAAATTTCTGTCTTATATGCAAATGTTTCAAATTATCAGAAAATACGCTTACGAAATAAGGTTAATGCATGTACTTGTAATGTAAAATGTTATATATTTAGAATTAAATATCTACAAAACGATACGGTAAAAATCAATGAAATTTATTCTGGATATTGTGAATATATTATAATAAACTTTCGTATTATGTGTGTTATGAACTTGTCTTATATTTCATTAAACGCTGGAACCTCCTTAAATTATTTATTGCAGATAATTTTTTAAACTACAATATACAATAGAATATACATTGTATAATTGTGTGCGTGCGTGTGATTATATATGTACAAAATATATGTACATATTTGTATGTATATAATTTAAATAAAAATAATTACGTTAGATAAAATTAACAGAAAATAATACTGATATCATGAAAATGATATATACGAGTTATAAGGCATGAATGTTACAGTATCGCCGGCATTAGCATTATCCAATGTGTCCGATCAATGGCTAAAACTTTTTGAATATTGTTCAGGATCATGATCTTGACATATATCAAGGTCAAGGTCATTAAAAGTTGTTGCTCTTATTTTCATTCTTAAAAATTATTTTTATTTTTTGTAAAAGGAGGAACAACTTTCAATGATTATGACTTCGACAACATGTTTTAGCCATTGTTCGGACACTTTGGGTTATAGTAATATGGGCGATACTCTAACATTCAACTTTCGAGCCTTATAACTCGAAACGTGCATAATGGAAAACTATTTTATTGTGCGCAGTGGGAATTCGAAAAAGTGGCCAAAATTCAAGATTTCATTGGACTTTTCTGTAACTTGGTAAAAGATTTTCGATGTCGTTGAACGAATTTGATAAAACAAAAATTTAAAATTAAAAATGACGTACCAGATACTCCGCGCACGCCCTGAGATCATGCCGAAACATCCGAACATTCAATGAATTTCTTTATGAGATAAAAAAAGAGGAATATAAAGAATTTTTCTCTCGATTAAAAAATACGGCTCAAATGATAAAATCAGTACATACACGCGTACAATCGTGAAATCATAGCTAATCCGTGCTATTGGAACTAATGCGTTTATGCGTGGAAAATTACAGTATTTGCAAAATATCGCTGAAATAAGTTCAAAGTAGACATTATAATAAAGATGTTGACATCTTCAATTTTTTATTAGAAAATGAATTTTCGAGGAGCTGGAAAATAGCAATTTATACAAAATCGAAAAGAATAAAAATGGTGTCAAAATACTTAAGTTAGGTTAATTCTTCATATTGTTACTTTTTTCAAATCAAATACTAGTATAATAATATTAATATTACATGGAAGAAAAAAAATTCAAAAATTATAAGTTTAATTTTTTAACAATTATAATTATGTTAAGACTCGAATAACATTTCTATTTTCATGATGCTCCTGTAGGAACAGATATTTATTTACTTGCAAAAAATTTCTCTACAGCTATTTTAACTCATCTATTTTAAGATACTGTGATAATAAAGTGCGAATTTACATGTTGATTGTTGAAACTTTTTCGAGTTCCCTGGCCCACTATGTAGTATTTTGAAAAGTTCTCGAGACAAGCTACAAGAACATATAATACAATGAAAAATGGAGGGTTTCATTTAAGAAATTTAAAGTAATCTTTCCCTGACCTTGATAACGCCATTCAAGGTCAAATCAATGGTACCATTTGATGTTCCTCTTGAAGTCAGACTTTTGTCATAAGTATTTTTCAATGCCATGTCATATTCTCGAGATATTTTAGTGCATCACTTAAAATGACTCGTCCTGTATATGTATACATACATACGTACATACGTACATACGTACATACATACATATTGTATGTA